TCCCTACTGGCTCCAATCCATCAATATTTAAATATGTTCAAATATCTCCCATTTCAAAAAAGAAAAATGAAAAACGGACAATCCCACTTTCCCACTAAAATCCCTCCCCTGACCTCACATTCTCCTGGGTTACTGGACTTTCTATCTTATCTGCAGAGAAACTTCTTCGAAGACTTATCTATGCTCATGGTCACAAATTCCTCTTCCTCACTGCTCAACTCATTACAACCCGGCTTCTGCCCTTCTTCTCTAATTATCTCAATCTGTTGCTTTTCCTAAAGATCACCAGGGACATCCAACTGCTGCTTCTTAGTCCTTATGGTTGACAGTTTGGCAGCTTTGCCAAATATTCTCAAATACAACCTCAAATACTCTCTCCCCTAGGTGATCCCAACTTCACAGAGCAATGTATCCTTTCTTGAATGTGCCTAAATTTCTCGAAGCTCTTTCTCACACTCTGCTGGCTTTCTTCTTCTTCTTGAAAGTCATGGTGTTTCTCAGAGTTCTAGTATTTTCTTTCAATACATTCTCCCTGGGTGATTCCCCAAATTTAATAGCTCTAGCCCAAACCTCTCTCTGAGCTCTTAAGTTAAATATCTAACTATCTGACATCTAGACCCAAACCTCTCATTTAGCTAATCCCTATGACACTTCAGATCTCAGTCTGAAAGTCACTTGCTCAGGTAGTCCTTCCTTAACTACCTAGTCCAGGTTAGGTTCCCTTACATGTTCTCATATCAGTTTGTACTTCTTTTGAAGCAGTCATCAATTTATAATTATCTAATTTATACTGTTGGAGATAGAGCATTAAACAAAACGAAGTACCTGCCATTATGGAGATTAAATTTCATATGGAAACCCTAGACACATTTTGAAAGTATAAAGAACCAACAGTATCAAGCACCAGGAAAGCAAATCTGTTAAAATAAATTCATATCTCTGGAAGAAAGAACACAAAATAGGGGGCTCCTACATTATTTGTGGCATCAAGGACCTTTTTTCTCTATCATTTTTATAGAGGAGTTCCCTTCTATTCCTGGTTTTCTGAATGTTATACAGAACTGTACAGATACACTTACCAGGCCCCCTTTCCATTTCTTTATGTTATAGTTGTCATATATGCATATGACATACATGTATACAAATTGCCTCCACATTCATTATAAACTCCACAAGACAATATATTTTTTGCTTTAAGAAATCATATGTATTTTTTAAAATTAAGAGAAAACATAGGTACTTGTATTTTATTTGCCATTTCTGATTATTTTAATTAAGATATGAGTTTGTCTCTGGTGTCATTTTTACTTCTACTTGGAGAGCTTCCTTTAGCATTTCTTGTTGTTCAGTCATGGTGGCAAAGAATTCTCTTAATTTTCCTTTACTTGAAAATGTCTTTATTTTACCTTTTGAAGGATTTTTCACTGGATATAGAGATTTACTTTTCTTTCAACACTTTCATTATTCCACTATCTTCTTGACTTCATGGTTTCTAGTGATAAGTACATGGTCATTTGATTAACTGCTCCCTGTTTTCAAGATTTTTTTATCTTTGGCTTTTCAACAATTTCACTATTATTATGTCCCTATGCATGAATTTCTTTGAATTTATCTTGTTTGGATTTGAGCTTCTTGAATCTATGAATTAATATTTCTCAGCAAATTTGAGACATTTTCTGCCATGATTTCTTCAAATATATTTTCTGCCACATTCTCTCTCCTCTCTCCTTCAGAAACTCTAATTATTTGCATGTTAGACCTTTTGAAATTGTCCCACAGGTCCCTGAGTTTCTATTTTATGTTTCAATTTTTTCTCTCTTCTTCAGATTGGGTAATTTCTATTAATCCAGCTTCATGTTCATTGGCTCCTCTGTCAGCTCCATTCTGCTATTAAGTGACATTTTAAATTCAGATATTGTATTTTTCAGTTCTAAAATGTTCATTTGATTCTTTTTTACATTTTATATTTTTCTGCTGAGATTACCTATCTTTTCATCTATTACAAGTGCATTTTTCTTAACTCATTGAGCATAGTTAATAAAGCTGCTATCAAGTTTTTAACTCCAATATCTAGATCACTGTGGTTCTGGCATCTCATTATTTTCTTTTGACATTAGGTCATGTTTCACTGATACTTCACAGGTCAAGGAATTTTGGATAGCATCCTGAACAGTGTGAATATCATGGAGATTTTGACTTTTTTTTAAATAACAGCCATCCTAAATGGGTGTTAAGGAATATCTCATTGTGGTTTTGATTTCCTTTTCCCTAATGACTATTTAGGTTGAACATCTTTTCATGAGCTTACTGGACATTTCTTTGGAAAAATGGTCTATTCAAATCCTTTGCCCATTTTTTAACTGGGTTTTTTTTGGTTTGGTTCGGGTTTTTTGGTGTTGAGTTATGGGTTTTTTTTTAATATTCTGGGTATTAATCCCTTATCAAAGATATGATTTGAAAATATTTTCTCCCATTCTGTGGGTTGTGTTTTTACTCTCTTGATAGTGTCCTTTGATGTACAAAAGATTTTAATTTTGACCAAGTACAGTATATCTATTTTTTCTTTTATTGTCTGTGTTTTCAGTATCCAAGAAATCATCACCAAATGCAATGTCATGAGGTGTTTCCCATATGTTTTCTTCTAAGAGCTTCATTATTTTTTTAAGTTTACGACTTTGATCCATTTTTAGTCAATTTTCATACATAGTGTAAGGTAAGGGCCCAACTTCATTCTTTTGCATGTGGTATCCAGTTTTCCCAGCAGCATTTGTTGAAAAGATGGTCCTTTCCCATTGAATGGTCTTGGCACCGTTATCAAAAATCATTTGACACAAGGGTTTATATCTGAGCTCTCTATTCTATTCCATTGTTCTATATGTCTGTCTTTATTCCAGTATCACACTGTTTTGATTACCACAGCATTTTACTAAATTTTGAAATCAAGAATTTTGAGTCCTCCAACTTTGTTCTTGTTTTGGCCATTTGGGATCCTTTGGGATTCCATACAAATTTTAGGATGGGTTTTTCTATTCATGAAAAAAATGCTGTTGGGATTTTGATAGAGATTGCATTGAATCTATAGATTATTTTAGATAATAATACCATAGTAGCAATATTAAGTTTTCCAATCCATGAACATGGGATATCTTTCCATTTATTTAGGTCTTCTCTAATTTCTTTGAGTAATGTTTTATAGTTCTCAGTGTACAAGTCTTTAATCTCCTTGGTTATTTTTTTTCTAAGTACTTTATTCCTTTTGATGCTATTATAAGTGGAATCTTGAAAGACTGCTCTTTGCTAGTACATAGAAATGCAACTAATTTGCAACTTTGCTGTATTTATTAGCTTAAGCTGTTTGTTTTGTTTTTTTTGTGGAATTGTTAGGTGGTCTACCTATAAGATTATGCCATCTGGGAACAGAGATAATTTTACTTCTTCCTTTCCAATTTGCATGTCTTTTGTTTCTTTTTTCTGCCTAAATTATCTGGTCAGAATTTCCAATACTATCGTGAATAGAAGTGGTCATATCCATGACTTTTTAAAGAAAGGTAGTTTTAGAGTATCTCCTAATGTTAATACCTATTTAAACTTGTGTTCTACACCTGTGATCATTAAATAGCAGCAAACATGAATATTATCTAAGGGACTTAAAAAATTATGTTCCATATCCTGATTCAATAAATCTGAGATGAGACTCAAGCATTTAATATATTTTTTTAAAACTGCCCAGATGTGTGCCTATAGTTAAGAACTTCTGTCCTACAATCTCTACCCAAAGCAATTTATCTCTGAGAAACTCATTTCCTTCATCTATAAAATTAAACTAATTAAAAGTATAATCCCTATATTTTTAAGGATTTAATTATGTTCCCGGTAGCATTCTATGTACTTAGATATTATTTCATTGAATCCTCACAACAACCTTGTTACGGTCATTATTGTTATCCTCCGTCTTTACAGATGAGGAAACTGAGGCAAAGAAAACTTAAGCATCTTGCCCCAAATCACATATTACTCTCTGCTGGTTCTCTCCTTGCCTTCTTTGACATCTCTGTCTCATTCTTCTTCTCTTTCTTTCCTTAAATGCTATGCTTTCCCAGTTTCTGTCTTTGGTCTTCGGTCCTCCTCTATGTTCCCTCTACATGTTCCCTTTGAATTATGTCACCAACTCCTCTGTATTCCCAAACCCAATACTCTAGCTCTGATCTCTCTTATCAGCTTCACGACCAAATTTCCACCTACTACCTGGGCATTTCCACCTGTTTATCCCATAGACATCTCTAACTAAAACTACCTGAAATAAAACTTAATCTTTTTGTCCAGAAAAGGCTATAGTTCACCTCCACCTCTGCTCTTCCTCCTGGTACCATATTCTACCCAATCTCTTAAGTTTGAAAACTGTGATTCATGCTTGACTTTCTATATATCTGTTTACATTAATCAGTGATACAGTCCTATCATTCTTCCTAAACATCTCTTTAATTCATTGTCTCCTCTCTTTGGTAACTTCTTTAGTTCAGGATCTTATCACAAACTGCAATAAGCTGCATACTACTGTTTCTGAAATGAAATTCTCTCCACCTTGCTGTGTAACCGTGTTTCCTAGTTTAAACTGGATTGATGGTAAAATGAGGATCACAGCAACAGTATTACCCTTATTATAGCTTCTATCACATTTTACTATAAACATTTGCTTATGGATTTGATCGCTTCACTTTTTAGTTTTACATCTCCAGGACCTAAAAGAGTAGCTAACACACAACAGATAGTAAACAGATTTGATTGCTAAATAAATGACCAATGCTCATGTCACATCTACTTCTAAAGAATTGGAGACTGCTCACAATAAAAGATACATACCATTAAGATAAAAGTAAAGGAATAGCTATGCAATAACCCAATTTACTTATGAAAAAGTTAGATTTCTGGAAAAACCATTAATTCAAAATAAGTTACTTTCAATAATACTAGATAAGTGAGGTGGCACTATGTATTCATACCCATTTTCAGAATGTTTGCCTCGTTTTCTAAGTCAGATATTTGAATCTTGACATTTTCTTTCATCAAAAGCTCTCGTTTCTTTGTTATTTCATACTCATTATTAAAGTCTGTAATTTCCTTAATAAATTTTTCTTCCTCCTCTGTCACTTTTCTCTTTGTATCTTCCTGAAAAACGGAAACAAAGGAACAAATATAGGTGTTAATTGCAACAATATTTTTCCTTAGTGATTTAAAATGCAATCATTTGGAAATATTAACAACAAAATAGAAAATTATACTTCCTGGGATTAAAATGCTTTACTACTCCAGCAATATTAATTAAAAAACTGAAGTTATTACATAGTAACAACCAACTATATTCATGTGAAAGATTTACCCTTAATGTTTTAGGACAATTATTGAGGTAGAAATTCTACCACCCATCATTATGTTTGCATTTGTTTGTGAATTAAACTTACAGTCATGTATGCCGTTTTTTCATTGCAAATGAAAAAATTCTACCACCCATCGTTATGTTTGCATTTGTTTGTGAATTAAACTTACAGCCATGTATACCGTTTTTTCATTGCAAAATGGGTGGTAAAATAATTAAATGACCAAAGTTGAAAATGAAAGTCTACACGCAAAGGAATTACTGTCTTACAGGATAAAAAAGAAAAACAAAAAAGGAAATCCAAGAAAACCTTTTAAAATTCAGACAATAAAGGTAAAATTATATATTCATTTCAAATTCAGTTCTAAATAATAGCTACATTTCATGCAATGTCAATATGGAGTAGAAATAAGAATTTACAAAAACTTTAAACAATGCTAGTACCCAAACTTTTTGACAATGGTAGAACCTAAACATTACTACATTTTCCTATTTTTTTTCTAAGAAATGTAACTAATTATAAGCTACATTTGGAAACTGGCCATGTCATTCATAACCATTTGGTGGTTGATTCTGACTTTAGATATATATTTTTAATATTTTAAAATGCATTTTTTTCAAAATGTCAGTTAGTTACAAATCATATTCCTAAACTGTCCTTATCATTTAAAACTACTGAGTCTGTTGGCTCTGACTTATGATAAAAAGATAAACAAAATCTATCTTTTCACCCACATCCATTAATATGCCTAAAGTGTGAACCTCTCTGCCTTTCAAAAGCATTAAAACCAAGGTCTTGAAGCCTGAGCAATTCAAATCAATGTCACTATTTCTTGTATGCTTATTACAATTGCAAATAATTTCTATATTGCATGCTGCCAATAAAATTCTTTCAAACTATATTACTCTACCAACTGGTTTAAAATAGCACTTAATAATTTTCCATATCTGAACAGGACTATCTGCCAATATGCATATGGATAATTTTTTCTAAAAGTACACCTAAGTATATTTTAATACTTTTTGATAGAGTTAGTGAAATAAATTTTTCTAAGTGGCTGGAGACTTACAAACGTTTGGAGAAGCATATTCCTTTGGCTTGTAATTTCACTGCACTGTCTTTCTAAGGCATTTTCATGAGTTTTCAAAAGCTGTAAGAGGAAGGCTTTTTCAGAAAACTGCTGAATCTTTAAAGTAAAAAAACCAGAAATCAGAATGAAACAATTAGACATCTTACGGTACCTCAGTTAATAGAACAGATCTGTATAGTATAAAATTTTTACATTAATCTTTAAAATGCAAAATAAAATTCACATTAAACATCTTACTTTATATGCTCTACCTTAAATTATTTTATAAATGCTTTATAATTGGAATTTTTATAATCTCTTCCCCTAATAAGACTATAGGCGCCTCAAGGGCAGAGAATATGTTTACTTTTTCCTTTCTAATACCTAGCACATTTTGTACCTTAGGTACTAAAGCTTTTTGATGACACGCATTGAAATCTGCTTTAAGACAGCTTGTTTTAAAGAACAAATTTCTATTCTCATCACTTACATGAAAGATATGGATGAATAAATCATGAATAATCAAATTATGAGATAAAATCTAAAAACCACAGGCAAAAACCTAGTCCCATGACTATAGTTATACCAAATAAAACACAAATCTGCTAAAGTCTTCAAATGGGTTTTGAGAACTCATTTTTTATTTTAGTACCTCATTTGGTTCCAACTAGCAAAGGATAAAATAAACATTAATATTAGATATGTAACTGTTATTTCATTTGGGCTGTAAAGAATAGCATCTCTTGAGACCATGAACATTGAAATGAAAGTCAGGAAGCTTTAATATATAAAAGCTAAAAATGATGCCAGACTGGAAATAATCTTTCCACTACATTCAGTACTGGCCCTCATAAGAAACCATCACTTCAAATCTGGGGCTGTTCCCATCTCCACAGAGAAAAGGAAAAGGAAATAAATTCAACTGAAATTGCAGAAAGCATGATTTATGTTAGCTGTTAAGAACTTCCTCAAGGTTAGAGACAGGTTGTGAAATCTCTGTCCCAGAAGATATTGAATAATAAAGAGCTTAGGAATAGTTTAGTCCAGAGGCAAAGGGCTGGCCTAAAAGACATTTTGAAATGATATGGCTAAAAAGCCCTAGAAATACTGGCATTAAAAAGAAAGCTGCTGAAATAAAACAGAAAATATGATCTTAAATTTATTTAATATCATAGCCCATCTGTCCATACCTTCAGCACTTGGTGCTGATTTCATCAACTTTATCTTAAGAAAGACATCAACAAAGATTAGAAAGGTGCAATTTACATGACCAAAGGAATTCAGAAAATACTTTCAAAATTGGGGGAAGGGAGAATGGGCAGTTAGTATTTTACTGTCTGAGAAGACAGAAATTAGAAAACATATGGTCTGATCTATAAAATTATATAGGAACTGGTAACAATGGTGAACAAGAGTACGATCATGAATTTTATCACATTTATTTTGAATAAGAAAATACTTCTGCGCTATTTAGTATATATTATATAAATGAGAATAAAATGAGTTCCAGAGAAGTAATACCTTAACAAAGGTTATATAATTAATTAGGGGCAAACCCAGGACTAAAATTCAGGTCTCTGACTTTATTGCTTCTAAATCACGATACTAATATGTAAATATTAGAACTATTTCAAAGTAGTAAAAAGATACTTTTGGTACTAAAAAGGGACTTCAGTCTCTGACAACAGCATAAATTGAAAGTATATAAGTTTAAGAGACAGAAAAATTACCAAATGCTAGGTCCATCAGAATTTATTGAGAAAAGGTTGCTTGCAGTATATTCCTAACTCTCAGAGTTGCAATTATGAACAATACCATGAATGTTTACAAAAATGCTTTGAGACCAAATATCAGGCTGGATAAATTTTGGTTTAATCCAATTAGGTATTTCATGTAATATGCCTTTCAGAATCAAAATTCCTAAATTCTGATTCTGTTTCTACCACTGATCTGTAGTCAAACCTGCATTGAAAACCAAAAATGGAGAAAATATTATTTATCAAACTAAGGAATTTTAAAATAAGACAAGCAAATTTATCACTCGAATTCACAAAAGCCTTATGTTAAGGACTCAGAAATTAAGGTGCTCTGTTTCCAGCTATCACTAAGACCTATAATTATCAATGAGCTCATGTCTTCTTTCTTAAAAGGGAAAATAACAATTATTAAGGAGAGATATTAGACATATTGGCATTTAATTGGAATGTTTTACCATAACCTGAAAAGATGAAACCTATATACCCCAAATGAAAATCAGACTGCTGTTCAAAAGATCTATAAGAAGGGTAGAGCTATAATTTTCCTCCTCCCTAAAATTCTATGTAAATTATCCATTTTGAGGTCTTTTCTACTTCTTTGTTTTCATTCTTATTATTGGTGTACTCTTCATTCTTACTGTTTTACACTCTGTCTTTATCTTTTACTCACACATTTTCCTCTTTTAATCAAGACCTAAAAAGCCCCAGAGAATCAATAACTACAGAAAGATTACAGTAACATTAATTTTTAAATTTACTTAGGATCTGTGATGAAAACATTTAATGCATAATGGAATTGGCAAGTAGGGAAAAGAGAGTAATAGAGAAAGAAGCAGGACTTTGGAAAAGCTCAAGTTAGGAAGGTCAAGAAAGAATAGATTGCCTATGCTGACTCACAAGTTGAGGAAGGCAGTTAAGTTATGGTTGCAGAAACTACATGGGGTCTAATATTATTAGACCTTCTATTTTAATGGAACTAATGGGACAAACGCCTTAGGATTTATCCAGTTCCACTCTACTATAAGTTATTAACTCTCACTACTAAAAACACCTTTTCAAGACCACCTATTTGCAGAATGTGTTTCTCATTGTTCCTTTTGTTTTTCCTGTTATCACAACTCATTTCTTAAATTATTTTTCACATTCTTGCTTTTGAAAACCAGACCTACTGATGTATAAATATTCCAAATATAACCTGAAGATGTTGATAGGATCACAAGATGAGGTCATTTCACAGAATAAATTATCATCAGAAATCTCTCTCACCTTTGTTTTGCCTCAAAAGTGATGGGTAGGAATCAGAATTGGGAAGATACTAGAAGAGATGTAAAATTGTGATTTAAAAAGATATTTTTGAACTTATCTGAGTCAGGTTTGAATTGAGGCACTATCTTATATCCATGGTAGCCTGGACATCCATGATAAATAAAAACTTAAGAAACTACTGGCTGTATCTGCTAAATTACCCAGGGATCTCAAGGGGCTACAAATGATAAAAAGAAAAGGATGGAAGGTTCAAATTTCTCTTTCTAATCTCTTTCCTTCCTCTGACTACAAATGAAATGAAAATATTTGCACGCAGCCTTAAAGTTATATGCTAGAATCAAATAGCCAAGCGTTGTCAGAAAATATTGCTGTTTTGGAAAATTTTAACTATAACAGTGCCAACACTCTGGTTAATTTTACTTCTCTCAGAAATAAACATTTCTTTTTCCCTTTCCCTGTCTTATTTTTCCTGGGATATTTGATTTTTCAAAAGAGCTTATAGTTTCCCCAGTCAGCTGACTTATCTGGTCAACTAGGTCAGTTTTCAGCATAGCCATGATTTGTGACTCTGCACCACTCTTGCTGCTTGGGCACCCTTAGGTATTTTTCTACCAGAATAACTTGAAAGTTGAGAATGACTGAGGATTTGAAATTAATGTTTGGGTCCAAGTAAGCAAAGTACAAAGTACAATCTACACTTTGTTGTGGCTGCTGTTACTTAAAATAATTTCAGGCTTTAGGAACTGGTATTTTGCTGACTAAATGCTCTGCCCAAGAGTAAAACAGGCAACACTACATAAGAAAACATCATGAAAGTTAGGTAGAAGATTTCACATTCGTAATCACAGCAACTGGGGAAAGAATGCGTTTGTTATGACTATGATAAAGATGTTTCAACACTAGAGTACATCAATGAATACTCTATCAATTGCAGATATTAACTTTTTAAAAAATAGATCTATTTTTTATAAATACATTTCTTAACCACAGATGCAATGCTTAAAGAATAACTCACTATGACACAGTAATCCTAATATAGTAAGCAAGGAAGGTTCAATATTAGTAAATATTAGTCCTTTTAATGGCTTATAAGGCTTTACGTGATTGCACTCTTATTCCCTCTCTAATCTAACCTTCTACCAGTTTCCTCCTCAATCACTCCTCTCTAGCCACACTGGCCTCCTTGTTATTCCCCGAACATCCAGCCTCACTCTCTCCTCAACGCCTTTGCACTGGATATTCTATGCCTGGAAATCTCTTTCTCCAGATTCCTCATGGTTCATTCCTTCATCTCAGTCAAGTCTTGGCTCATCTCTCATCTTTTCATTAAGGATTATCAGGATGCCTGATAAGACCACTGCTATTTACGTCTGTTCTGGCAGTTCTTACTAATGCAATATGTCAAGAATAGGAACAAGAGATAACAATTATTTAAAAAGCTGGCACACAATTCTCACTCTCTCTTTTGTTTGTTTGGGCAAATGTGATTACTGTGTACCTAATAAATCCAAGAAAATCTACTGAGAAACTTAGAAATAGAGAAGAGTTCAGTAAAAAGGTTAGTAACAAAATAAATACCAAAAACTAGTGTTTTTTCTATTTACCAGCAATAAATAGAAAAAAGCATGGAAAAGATCCCATTTACAACACCAAAAACTAAACAAAACACAAATAAACTTAACATGAAGTATGTGGGACCTATATGAAAAAGCCTGCATTGAGGAACATAAAAGAAGGTATAAATAAATAGAAAGATATGCTATATTCTTTTTTTTTAATAAATTTATTTATTTATTGGCTACGTTGGGTCTTTGTTGCTGCACGTGGGCTTTCTCTAGTTGCAGCGAGTGGAGGCTACTCTTTGTTGCAGTGCGCGGGCTTCTCATTGCGGTGGCTTCTCTCGTTGTGGAGCACGGGCTTTAGGTGTGCGGGCTTCAGTAGTTGTGGCACGTGGGCTCAGTAGTTGTGGCTCACGGGCTCTAGCACACAGGCTCAGTAGTTGTGGCGCACGGGCTTAGTTGCTCCGTGGCATGCGGGATCTTCCCAGACCAGGGATCGAACCTGTGTCCCCTGCATTGGCAGGCAGATTCTCAA